GGAAGGAGGCACCAAGGGGGGTTGCACCAGTTGGTGTCCCCCATCCAGTCTTGGAGAAAGGCGTCCGTCCCGCACTCCCCACGTCCGCGTGCAGGCTGTTGTACCTTGGGCAGAGGGAATTCGCCGCGGAAGCAAAGCGGTCGCACGACCGGCGACCGAAGCGCTGAGTCAGGCGCTTGAAAATGGCCGGGTGCAGTTGGTAGTCGTCCGCCACCCGAACCCGGGACAGCCTGTCCGGTATAACGTTGTCCTCCAACCGAATATAGTTCGGGTCGAGCAGGAGGTGGCGCGCCGTACAGACTCGGTGCAGCTGACGAAGGGGGGTGAGGACCTGCTTGGAATGGGTAGTCATGCTGCGCAGGCAGTACATGACCACCTGGTTGTCGACCAGCAGCTTGAGCCTCGAAGGAAGGCCATGGGAAGCAGCCGGAAAAAAGCTGAGAATGGCTCGCTCCACCGCCTGCATCTCACGCACATTGATGTGCATTAAGGAATGGTCCCAAAACCCCCTCGCGAGGAGGGGGCGGGACCTCGTCGGGGGAGCAAAGGTGGCCCCCCAACCGGTCAGGCTGGCATCCGTTGCCAAAGTACCGGCGAAGGGGATTGCGTCGGGGTTGAGTGGACGGCCTTCGCAGCGGCGGATGTTGACCCACGCCTCCAAGTCCAGCCGGGCTTGGGGGGAGAGGATCAGGCGATCCCGCCAATTGCGCTTGGAGCAAAGAACCGCGTAGAGGCTTTGCAAGAAAAATCGTGCCAAAGGAAAAGCCAAATAAAGGGAAATGGCGAGGCCGCAAAAACGTGCCAAATCCCTTGCCACAACCCAGTGGCTGGATCGCAAAATGCGGGCCTGAGTGGCGATCAACGCGGCCTTGTCCGGAGGAACCTCAAAACGGCCATGGGCCGTGTCCACAATCACCCCCAAATGCTTCTTGCGCATGACCGGGGTCCATTGACACTTCCGCTCCTTGAATTAGAGGCCCAGCGAGGCAAACACACCCCGAACCAATTTCGACCATCGAGTCAAACGTGCGGCATCATGCATGGCCGCCAAAAAATCATCGAGATAAGCCAACAAAATGGCTGGCGGTTCACTAGTATACACGTGAAAGTATGTAGCTATTGAGTCATCCCCTGCTAGGCACCCAAAACGGAAATGGCGAGCAGCCTTGGGGCAACTGCCCGGGGACCTCAAGAAACGACCCACAACAAGCATCAAATGGGTGAAAAAGAAAGGAGCCAACGAAAGGCCAAAAGGGAGAGCTTGACAGGCGAAAACTTCATCTCCCATCCGAAATTGGAGGAAACATTCCTCCGATCGACACACGCGAAGATGATGATAAGCATCTTTGATGTCGAATCCCACCAATGAGTCATTTCGGCGAAGTAAGTGACCGAAGTCACGTAATTTCTCATAACGAAGGCCCACCTTGCGAAGGTGACGGTTGACCCGTCGCAGATCGATGCAAAGGCGGTACTTCATGACCCCATCTTCCCGCCCCTTCTCCACCAGGAAGGCCCGAGATATGCGCGAGTTGGGGCCCGGCTCCACTTTGGTGATCGCGCCCGAAGAGAGGTAGTCCGCTCGAAGGGATTGCCAGGCCGCCCGTTCCGCCGAGGAGCGGAGCGGGTAGGAGCCCTCGTCGAAGGGGGCCGGCGGTCCACGCGGTCCCCACAGAAGCGGAGTCCCGGAATGGATCCATTGGAGGATGCGGGAGGGGGCGCCGATGCGACGCCACGCCGAAAGGCGTCCGCGGACCCGGCTGTACGGGAAAAGCTTCACGGAGCCGGCTTGGGAGAGGGGCCCGGAGGGCGAGATCCCTTGTGGGCCTTGGGGCCGGTCGAGGGGGCCGAGGTCGACGGGGGGGAGGTAGACTTCTTGGCGGCCGCGGTCTTGGTGGCGTGCTTCAATTCTTGCGTCAGAAGCTCCTTGCGCATGCGCTCGATGGTCCTGTCGACGCGAGCGGTGCCGAAGCGCAGACCGCGGTCGGCAAGGCGGATCTCCGCCTGAATGGCCCGCCACGATCCCTCCAGGCCCGAGCCCTTGTGCTTGGCGTGGATGCGCTGCAAGGAGAGCTGGTCGTGGAGAGCTTCGGTGACCTCCACGTACGAGTAAAGGTAGGGGAGGAGGAATTCCCGTACGGACGCCGGGAGATCGGGATGGGCGGCCACCTCCACAAAGGCCGCGGTCGTGTCGAACAGCCAGGAGACCGGAGGAGCCCAGCCCGCGTACTCCTGGAAGTACCCGGAGTTGGCGCCCAAAGAGGCGGCGACCGCACTCCCCTCAGCGGTGTCGCGGACGTCGAACCAGTACGGCGAACGGGCGCCCACCGGTCGGGCGACCGGGTTGTTGACGGACTGGGGGAGTAGCGCCGGGTCGGGCAACCAGCAGGCTTCGATAGCGGAGCTCGGAATACGGTTGTTGAACCGGCGAGCTTGTTCCCGGCACCACTGCTCCGCAGGGGACGGGCTCATAGGCAAGAACTCGGCAAAGAGCCGGAGGTCGAGACCCACTCGGTGGGTCCGGGTTGTGCCAAAGGGTTGGCGCGAAGCGAAACAAGATAAGGTGGGGACCGAGGGGTGAGCCTAAGTAGCCTCCCCGCTCGCGCCCGCCAAAGACCGCCGCTCCCAAGGGCGCCAAAACCACTGGCCCTCCTTGAACGCGACGGACCAGCCACTGACCCAAGGTACAGGGGGACAGAAACCCCAAGGGGCCGCCAAAACCATTGTACTTTAAGCAGCGCTGGCCCAAGTGGGCCAGCGCGCCCGCCCCTCGTCGCCCTGGGCGGAAACCACTTAACAAGATAGTTAATCCCATTTCGCTGCAACCGCATCTGTTGCATGATCCTCAGGATTGTTGGTGCAGGCTCGCACGTGTTCGAACCTCCCAATGATTGACGAGGATTGTCCGACGCCAAGCAGCGGTGACCCCAGAGACCTAATGGAAACTTTAAAACACCAAAGCCCTAAAAATGACCTTCATATGCTTGACGATTTCATGTCCGGAAATGAAGAGTGTCGTTCTTTTGTGCTGCGACGGGAAGCGACGAGGGACAAGATGCAATGGCAATGCTTTGTCCTGCGAAGGCAGATTCTAGCCCTGCCTTGTTTCACAAACAAAAGAATGTGGCGACTTGGGAGAGGCATAGATGTGAGGCCACGTCACAAGCCGGCGACACCGGGGTCGCGGTGGTAGGTCGAGGAAAAGATGCTGGTGGAAAACGACAGCAAGTATTGTGGCATGTTTAACATGTATACGTCATTATATGGCAAATTGACGCGGCTGCATGTTGGCGGGAAAAATGCTAGAATGGAGAAGGGTAGGCCTTGGCGATGCCTGCTGCGGCCGCTGTGCGCAATCGCCCTGGAGGCATGCTTGTCAAAGCTTTATGTTGCATTGCAGTGTTTGAGCTGGAAAATAACCGTTGGCGTGCGGTTGGCGATGGCCTTCCCAATCACTCAATCGCGAGCATTGGCCGTGCGGGCATCTGATGGTCGTTCCTGTTATGACAATCCTCCGATTTGCAGGGGCGCTGCACATCAGCGTGCATGCTATGTTGCAAGCGATGTCACAGGTGCTAGGAGTCCGGTGCTCGTACTCAGTAGTCTGCGCCAACCTCCATGGCGGATTACGAGGGTTGTGGACCCCGCTTCAGTAACGTGCAATGTGGGATGACGAACCAATCGAAGTGCGACCACCAATATTTGGTCATCAAGACATCGACCGTCAGGTTTGTAGCCAATGGACACGGTGGGTTTCCCATGTACTGTTGGTTTCTGAGCCCTTCTCCACAGTAACGTAAACCCTGGCCTTTATTACTGAGAAAAAAGTAAAACAAATAACGCTCTTTGAATAAAACTTGTGCCGGGCCACACAAAAAATATAAAACAACGCTCTGAAAAACAAATGCGGAGCGTAATGGTAAAGTTTTATTCATGCGGAAGGGTTGAATATACTACAGTAGTTGCATACCTGAACACCTTGATTATTGCTTCCTTGCCTATCATGCAGCATGGTTCCCACAGGTACAGGCGGATTCAGCAGCTTCTTGCAGTGCCGTGACACGTGTTTATACAACATTGGGCTACAACATTCGTAGACACAATCCACGTTAGGTTTGCTGAGATCCTTGTTCGGCAACAAATTACACCGCACGCCGAGTCCACAAGAAAAACGTGCCGATGGCTTTGATCCGGCAAGTGAAGTATTGAGGATACGACGCCATCCGCCCGCGTGGATGGCATAAATCTCGCCGATATGCATCGCCAGCGAAGTCTGGGAATCTGCGGCGTTCGATGGCACATTCTCTTTCCCACCAAAAAGGTCATCTGTCGGGTGTGTGTGGCGTGAAATGCACGTGTACTCTCGCGTCAACACCTGCCACATCACGGGCAGACAATGGCCCAGCACAAGCATCGGAGAGGTGGGGCATGGCCAGGCACATTGCATCCCTGTGCAATATCCTTTGCCATCGAACCCACCTGGTGACCCGCCTGGTAATGCAAAACCTTCACAAGCAGGCGCCAAGAACCACCGATCCTTTTAAACTCACCCAGCGCCAATGTGGCAACTTCCCGTCCCTAGCTCTCTCACGACAGTGCTGCCCTGGTGGCAACATTGTCCCCAGGCACCAGTGCTGCGGCTGCAACCCTCAACGAACAATTATCCACAGCAAATACCCCGTCTAACAAACTACCTAACGATATGAAGTGAAATGGCCTTGTGTCCCTGCGTAGAGCCCAGTGGCACACTTGGAGGATCAAGAAGCTAAACCAGGGTTTTCAGTGCATTCGCCCCCCTGTGAGCAATGACACCATTTTGGGACACAGGGCTCTGTTTGTTCCAGCCACCAACACAACAAGTGATCTCCTCTGTGGAGGTTCCCTGTTAGCCTTTGATGGCAGCTACACTCTGCGTTCCAAAGGGTCAATACCACGACCCCTTTTGTGGAGTACGACTGGCCCAGCCAACACCTGCGTTGAACTCCACCTGTGGCATCGTGTCAACTTGAATGCACCTGGACATTCAAATGCTCATTGCTCTCCTCAGGCATTTGATAGGCGTCCATTACAGTGACCTTGGACTCCTCTGGTCCCGCAAGGATTAGGCCAGCATCTGGCATTTTCCTGTACATTTGTGTCATCACCTGGGGTACATGAATACGCACGAAGAGGCCGCCTTTCAAGAGGTCCTTGACTTGACTGCGGTCGCTCCACACAAGCTTGTCCCTAAAGTATTGGCGAAGCTCCTTGTCGTCTTTCAACGAGCTGGCAAGGAAGGCCTGGAAGTCCAGGTGTTCAAATCAAGAAGTTAGAATACGCCTGTGAGCACAGCCTGCTGGATGGCATGGCCGCAAACATTCAGGCACCATACACCAGGAGTCCATCTCAGTTGAGTGTTCTATCTCGAAATTGCTTGCCGAGTCATGTATGAACAGCACAGGAAAATGATCCGAACACAGACCGCCACAGTGTCAATTATTGATGAATGGGCAGTTGGTTCGTCCAACAATTCCGAATGAGGCACACTAACACTGTGCTCTATCACGAACAGTGGCAGGAATGCACCCCACCACTGCATTGCAATGTCACAAGCGACTAGCACATGAGCGCAGAATATTGCCTTTGGCTGCAGCCACGCAAGGAGCAAAGAAATCATGCAGACCACATGATGAAATGGAAAGATGCAGCATGCCATCCACCCCATGTCACAAGTCGAAAGTCAAGCACAGGTCATGCACACCTCGCGATCAAACGGAAGTATGAAACATCTCTTGACATCCTCATCGGTTGGGGCGCAGTCACAGCGATCTCGTCTGCCTTTGAGGTCAGCATACTTATTGTACACATAGTGCAGAACAGTGGGTTCCGTTGAGGTGATCTCCCTAACAATGGCAACGAGCACACATTGGATATCGAATTCCAGATGGTGGTTTACGTTGTCAAGACAAAGGAAATGCAGGGTTCAACTTCACTGCACATGGCCCTGCTGCAGTGATGGCGATGAACATCAAGTTGCTTGTGTCGATGTGGGATCGCCACTCCTGTGCTGCCAGGAGCCGAGGCAGGGCAAAGTCTGCGGCAAAGCCCACACTACCAAAGTGTGCTGCACACTCATTCCGTGGACAGCAGGCTTCAAGAATAGAAGGGCCAGGCGTCGATAGATCTGGAAGACAGTTTGCCCCTAGCTGTCTAGCAGGTGCTGGGGCAGAGTTTTGATAAGCGAAATCAAATAAATGAATTCATCCAGAATCACAGGACTACAAGGCCTATGTCCATCATCCAGCTGGTGTTGTAACCAGAATCCTCCTGACCCAACAAAAATGCCAAATGCAATGTTAAATGTAGAATTACACACAACAAACAAAACAGACTGGAGGAAAACACAGCAGGCTGTCCAAGTGCCACACGCCACACACAAACAAATGTGACCAAAAACTCAGCCAGTCAACACCATGCAATTATGGCACACCTACTTTGGTTTCTTCCCATATATATACCAACGATGTGCCCCATTGGATCTCAGATGTGGTTGGATCCTTCCAGCTGACTTTCCATTGCCATATGTGGTGAAGTAGTTTGGGTTGCCCCTTGCCACGATCGAATACTTCTTGAAGTACTCGTCCGAGTTGACGTGTGCAAAGTTTCGCTTGAAGAGAGTGACTTCCGTGAACGGATCAGTGACATCATCCCGCTCTGCCAAGCCCTCATAGTTGGGGAATACAACAGAGTCGATCTGAGGCAGAGCGCAAGGAAAACGATGTGACCAAGTCATTTGTCAAGACAGCACAAAAGAAATGTAGCTCACAGTAGCAGTAGTGGTTGGCACAGGTGCAGAGAGGAAGATGCACAAGTGTGGCAAGCCCCAGACATTACCCATGGCACCATTCACCTTGCCCAGAGACCAGGACTCATCTGCCCTGTCCTAAACGCAGCAATCCACAGCAGGCATGGGCCATGCTTCACTGTCCTTTTGAAGCCCACTGGAATTGCAGCCCTTCTCAAAACTAAAATGCACAGGAAGGATGTACCTTGCAATTAATATACAAGATGGATCGCTGCTTCTCAAAGTCAATTGGCCAAGTGTAGAGACCTGAACATCGCCACAGCCGGCACCTGTCCCACACAACAACATACTACACTGGCGTGCAATGGTTTAGCATGCACACAGAGCCGGTGCAGCACAAGCAAGCTCTGAAGCATTCTTGATTGAGTCCCAAAGCCAAGACTAGCGAGCACCAGCGCTGTTACAGTGGTTGTTGCTCACATCGTCATCCAACGAGTCCATGTACTCCTGTATGCTGAATGACCCAGTGCCGCCAGGGTAAAGGAGTTCGTCTGTGTCGAGATGGAAGATCCAGTCCACCCCATCCTCCATTGCTTGTTGAATTGCAACTGCAAGGAGGCATTGCAGTGCTCAATTCCAGTGTCAAGGTCACAGAGAGGTAAGAGAAATCCAAGTCTGGTTCAGCAGTGGTTGTGCACCTACCAGCAAAGATGTTCAAGTTGCTTTATATACACTCAACATTAGACTTCTTCAGTGCACCTATTTGACTATCCCATCATGAAACACCCATCATGAAACACCCTTCCTGCAACACCCTTCCCAGTGTCCTGTTGACTGCATTCAGAACTGGCCATGCTCTACTGCAGTACATGACACAGATGTCTTTTTGGAACACTTTCAGATGCCAGGCAAGCCAGCTGTAGTGCCTTGTCAAGCAATAAACACGCCACAGTTGAAACAGCCACGCAGTCAGCATCTGCACCCCAGCACGTGCTGTTAATTGCGCGTTCCCAGCATCGCAGGTCACCAGGCCAAGCCATACATTAGATTTTGCAGTTTGCCTGGGGAGGGTTCCATGGTTTGCTCACCAAATGAATCCAAAAGTAAAACCAATTCACACGTTCGCCCCGACCCCAAAGGCCATTGGCCTGCAAATATCACGTGCAGATTCTAGGCACGCAGGAATTGGCAGGGCATCTTAATCACTGCACTCTTTCTCACTCCATTCAAACAATCATTCCAAGGAGTAAAGACAACACAGACGTCTGACAGTTCTTGCCAAGAGGGGAGTATTCCAATGTATGGCTAGGTTGCATTCCCTTCAGGATCACTGGCTTTGTGCAGTCCTTTGTGCTGCATGTTTCCACTCTGTTGGCAACTACTGGTGCTGACCTTCCATGTTCAAACTCTGCATCACAAAGAGCTCATTATTGCAGGGCTTGTTGAAGAAGGCAGACAGCCAAGTCTCATTCCATGCCCGGCTGTGTGCATGCCGATGTTGCAGGCGTTCGTTGTTTGGGAACAACTTGACGCCACTCCACCTTCCAAGCTCCCATATTGCAGCATCATGGTTAACTTGCCCATTCAAGAAGAGGTAGAACATCGAGAAGCCTATGCTTTTGTGGTAACGCATCCACACCTTGATGCTGTCCACACCAGCAGCTGTGGTGGTAGCGATGGCCAACTGATCCCAGTGCAGAACAGAAATGTCAAGGCTAGTTGCTCTGTGCAATTAGATGCCATTCTGCTTTGGCTATTTGGCACCCCAACGATAGTTCAAATGGGGTGGCAGCAACCAGAAGAAGCGGAACAGATCCTCGGCAATGGGCTCTAGTACAGTTCAGGCATTGAGAAATTTTATCAGGCATCTCAGGGCTGTTGCGAACTTCACCAAACTGCAAATGCGATTAGTCGTGTTTGAGCTCCCTTGAATTGTCACTGGCGGCTGTGTTGACAATATCATTGGTCACATCAACTTCGCAAACAATTCCCAGCCCAAAGGGAGGAGGCAGCCAGCAATAGCATGCCCAAAATATCCATTTCCAAAGTGGAGATCAGAATGCCAACACTTTTGAAAGCTCCTCTTCAACAAAACCCTGTTCAATATCAATGCATTTGCCCATCTTCCTCAAGGAAACACTGCAGCACATTTGTGTGTTGTCTCAGCCAAAGTAAGGATGTGTTCTGTGGAACCCGCTTATTGACAATTCCACAATTTCAAAACCTCTCAAAAAGCGTGCTCGGACACAGATGCCCATTTTTTGACATATTCCCTCTGTTGTAAGGATCACCCAATCAATCCCCACCTTGGCTCCTTGTTTCTTTGCCCCATTTGGCAATGCATTTGAGTTCACTACGTTTTGGGCAGTCCCCATGCCCGCTTGCCGTGTTTTTCCTTTCCCGCCACCCAGACTGTCCTCCAAGCTGTACATTGGCCGCACAGAAGTTCATCAACAACACACAATTTCCATTGTTTGTATGTGTGCACGCCAAGCTCAAGCTTGTTGATGCATTCCAGCCCTTCTGACCAACGAAGCCTTACCGCAAGGAGACCGACTTCACAGCAAAATGAACACTAATAGCACGCGGAAGCCAGCAAGCCTGGCCTACCGCAATGGAGGCCCGATTCCTCCAGACCAACGGGCGTGCTCCCGAAGACAATCAAGCAGGTTCAGCGGGGCAGACAATGGCCATCCACACGACGCTTGCGCACAGCCCGATTGTGGACTCCATGCGCTGTCCAGGCAGCACCGCCGATACCGCAGCCCCCTGCCGCGCCCATGGCGTTACCTCGGTTCGTTACGCAAGCGAAGGCCGCCATCCCTGCCCCCCGTCAGGCCCAGCGCGACATCAGGAGACCTCCTCTGTGCCTGGCAGCGCACCAACGGGTCAGGATCTCAGATTCCACCAGGCAATCGCGTGCGCACCGCGCACACACCAGATTGGGGACGCACTCACCTGCAGGAGCAGGCAGAAGGCGGCCAGGAGGAGCGGAAGCAAGACCAAGAGGCGGACGATCGGTGAGGGGCTGCCGGCAGCCCTAGAGGACGCGGCCGGCAGCATCGCCCCGACGGCCCGCGCCTATCCCTCCGGCCACTGCGGTCGCCCCGCGGACCGGGATCCAAGGAAAAGGATCTTCGCAATCCGGCGGTGGATTCGCGCGAACGCCCAGAGGCGCACGGCGCCTCCTGGGGCGCCTCTGCGCGCACCCGCCGCTCGGCAGAGTCCAGGGCTGGCCTCCCTGGTCGCGTGTGCGAGGGGCGGGCCCCCTGCGCCAACTCCCAAGGTTGCTCACACTGACAGGCGCCGCCCGTGCCCTCGCCGAACATCGTTGAGTCCAACATGCACCTTCACCGCAGCCGGCGACATCCTCACGGGTCATGTAAGTTTTTTTTGCGATGCTGTCATATTTAATTTCCCCCCTTTTCAGCGCTCGGCCACCGATGTGAGACGGGCGAGGCGCTGAGCTACGGCTTGGGGGACCGTAGAGGGGGCGCGGACGCGCTTGGAAAACTCGTGTCACAACCGCCCCAAAGCAGCCAGCCGGGAGGCGAACTGTTCAGACAACCAGCCGTACAGTTACGAGGATTTTGAGTAGAAAGGCGGCGTGTCACGCCTTGACCCATTGGGTCGACATGACGCAATATGACGTGCAGGGTGAGCCACGTAGACTGCCATCGAGCAAGTTAACTGGCTGTGCGACAACGCCGCCACACAATCGATCACCTACTCAATCAATCAATTAACCAATCGATCAATGAATCCGTCAGTCAGTCGACTGATCAATCAATCAGTAAATCAGCCAGCCAGGGCATGCTTGGCAATACTTCATCAATACGAGCAGATCAACAGCCATCGCCGCCATGAAATGACTTCATGATTAGGAAGAATAAAATCATTGGACTGCGCGCAGTTCATCGGCCACCTCTTCGTCTCGGCACCAGAAGCTGACCAGTCGCGGACTGCCAGTACGCAGGTTCACTAGATCCACGTGATCCACGTAATACACACTATGTATGGCTAAGCCACTGGCCTCCATACACATCAATAGCAAGCCAAATCTCGCGTACTGCACACGCTTTCCGCGCCCATGGATGTTCTTCCTTTTCGCACCACATCGCACGGCGTTTCGGCGATGCAGCACCAGAGCGACGACAGGGTGGAAAAAAAGGAAATTCGTGCTCTACAACTCCGATCAACATTGCTCTTACATTTCGAAGGCCTACTGGAAACAAACAATGTGCTGTGCAGCGTCATTGGGCTCCGTAAGCATTCCCTCTTCGGAAGCTCTGAAGAATTGTCAAATTCAAGAACTGCAAAAGAATTTCCCGTTCATCATCTGGCATTCCGACTTTCGTCCAATGAGATGGCGTACCAGCAACTCACTATCCGCACTCATGAGCGCGGATAGTGATAATTCTCACATTGGGCCATCAGATATTCAAAAAAATCGGATTCGACGGTGAACTGGTTAAACAAATCCCATTGAAGCTGAAATGAGCCGATGTGCTGTGTAGAACAATAAACGCAATTTAGCATTTTGGGAACGGCTGTGCATCACGAAGTCCTTCGGGTTCGGCTGCCAAAAAATCCCCAGCTCTTCTTCTGTTTCTTCCAGTCTTCAGTGTGGCTCAGATGTCCGTACTTTGATGCCATTTTGCCGCGCACCCTGAGCGGAATTGCCCGAAAATGCATCAAACACCGAACCTTTGAGGTGACCGCAAGTTCTTAAAGGCAATCTGAGAGATTAAAGGCGGCTGGAAGTCAGCGCCTCCGCTATAAGTAAATTCAGCACAAATTCCAGATCCGATGTCGTCAGAAATTTTGAGATAGTAGATTTCCCAAGCTTGCGTCAACTAGGCAACACCATAACCCAATAATGATAGACTTTATTGCAAAGAATCCCAAATTGATGGCGTTTGGCACCACAAGCATTGCCACAGAACTAAACGAGTAGTACTAAAGGAAATTGTCCTTGTGGAAACTGCGGAAGCGTCCAGATTTGCCAGGAGAACAATCAGCTCGCTGTCATATCAATGATGTTTATAAATCCCACGACTTCCGTGGTGCAATTTCCAGTGACCACCTGGATCTCTATGGGCTTCCGCGCTTTCTACCTCGAAGTGCGTCATAGGCTGTTGCACTGCCAGTTGCATACTCGTTGGCGAAAGCGCTGCTCACAGCGCTGCGCCCTCTTTGACACTGATTGTTTCTATTTTCAGGCATTTTTAAGTTAAGGAAATCGATTCATACTACTATTGTCCTTGTCATGTGTACTTGGGATCATATTTACCAGTACTTTGTTGCGCTGGTATCGCAGCGCTTTTATTTCGACCCCTTCGGTCACTGTATACTCTGTAGTGCGTTGTTGCATTCCCATTGCCCCCCGCGCCCCAGGACGTTTACGCATTCGCCCAACCGTTGTTTGCATCCAATTAACGCTGCACGTCTTCCATATTCAGAAACATCCAACATGTTAAATTGTGCTAATTTTCATGATCGTGACTAATATGCAACGGCGCAAGTGGCTGCTGCATACCAGCAGCTGATTTGGCTTATAGAAATGTGCGGCGCTACTATTTTTCTTCGCGATTGCTCATAACTGCTATTCGAAATACACACTGCCACTATTCCACCCTCGCACAGGTAAAACATGTACGCCTTCCTGATTTATCGCCGACGCTGGCAATTATGCATGTACAGCGCGCAACTTGCGCATATCCGTTGCTGCGCTGCAGCTCGAAATTGAAGGAAAACGGGCCCCTGCAGCGCGCCTTTCGTAGCCCGCATCGCCGCTCCTCTTGGACTTTTCGATATCGTATCGAATCTTGTTCAGGGTGTCGCGTTTGCCGTTCCCCCTGCTGCTTCTCGAACCAGATCCCTCCTCCAGAGCCTCGAACGAAAATTCTGTTCTGAGGCGACAGCGCAGGGCGATGGCCACAATGAAAGCGATTCCTTCATCTGAATTGCACCGAAGCACTTCAGTGAATGTGCCTTTTATGGAAGCGCACCGATCTTTATATCAATAAATAAATAATATATTTGTTTCCGCAATGAATGAATTCACCACTATCCAATTGACCCGCTCCATCCCAGGTATTGCGTGACCTCTGAGCTGAATTAGGCCAATCCGGTGTCGTTGCTTTTTGTGCGATGTTTGTTTGCATCGAGCTCATTGCCCGATGGAATCGACATCCAAGCTCAACAGCACGCATTGCCAAGGAATCCCAAGACGTCGAGACTCCTGACTAAGGAATTGGTTTCTATCACTTGCGAGCGAGCAAATTTGATGTTCCAATTCTGTGTCAACCCGACCACCAAATTGGTAACTTGATCCTAAATCTGCGCTCGCGACGGGATACTAGATTCTTTTTGCACATCTGCGGCATATGGAGATTACTGATATCAGCAGAAGGCCTCTTCAGCTCTTGTGAATCTATGGGTAGGAGATCAGCGAACAACGGGACGATAGTGGCAGTGGGAACGAGCGAGCACCAAGAAATATGACTGTCCGCTACTCAGCAGCTTCATTCCTGCACCCGAATTTGTCTGTGAATTGGTTCTGTACATGGCAAAGGTGTCCTACTCACATGATCTCAAGCACAAACACAAAGCTTAGATGAGACCTGCATTGCAAGATCCTTGATTCACGCGATTCAAGCTATGGAAATATCTACGCTCGGCAGCACCCGACACACAGCTGCCGCTACAATCTTCCATCAGCTGCAGCACCGCGGACGTCATATCGATGCGCGCCACAGTGATACCAATACCTCAACCTCAATTAACTTCACCGACCTGCGAGAAACACGACAAACACCCATTTCCCCTTGTCAAGGATTTTCTCAACTTCTTCTCGATCGATGGACTGCCCGCCGCCCGCTACGCTGTCCACCACCTCGTCGAAGGCGACGTGAATGGACACCGCAAACGCCGTTTGCAGCCCAAGGGACACGACCGACAACGCCAGGAAGGAGGTCAGGCAGCACCGCCTCCCATACGAGCCGCAGCACCCAAGGAACGCGGACATCACCGTCAGCGCACCCAGGGCCACCAGTCCCACGGAGGGAAGGGAGGTCACGGGGAGCTCCAGG